TTTTTTTTTTTTTTTTTAGCTATAGAAGGTGCTTCACACAATGAATACTCAATCAAACTTAAAACAATGCTTGCTCTTTCTGTATATCTTTTTTTTTTCCTTCTTCTGTTGTCTGGCTTTCTTGGATCAAACTCTTGCAATGCATTTTCTGTGTCTTACTGTACTTCCTCCTCTATGCGTTGTTTGTTTGTCTAACTAGCTGGCTGTTTGGATGCAGGTATGGAGTAAAGCGCAGAAGTGTCAGATGCAAATGGCACTCGTAGTCAACCAGGCAATAATACCTTGCTCGATTTTTCTTTCTTCCTGGGTTAGCTATCCCTGTCGATGCTTACCATCATATTGGCATTGTCTGGTACTTGCAATCTGACGTGGCACATAGCCATTACCCACATCGATTCACAGTTTCTTGATGTCGTGACACAGCCTATCTATCCAGAGGGGTAGGAGAGATGACCTTGACTCTACCTACAGTACGCTGACCACCCAATTTGACGTGACCAGGTCCTGACACATTGCCTTCGGACCATCCAGACTCTTACACTATGATGATCCAGATCCAGACTCGACTTCCAGACCAGCAGCAGTCACCTTCAGAGGGGACGAGAGAGAAGGTAGGGGACACACACATGCATGCAGGTTAAGGGCAGGAGGTGCTTCTCTCTTGTTGAAGATACCGCCGATGATGCTCCTCGGTGCTCCACACGCTCCAGGTAAGTCTTCACACGCTCCAGGTAAGTAAACTCGCCTCTTCTTCTTCGGCCTGCTCCCCTACTAACAAAACACTTCTTCTCCTCCTCCCTTCCTCCACTAATCCTCCATCACCACATCCTCAACACCCTGTCTTCTCGCCGGCCTTGATCATGCCAGCGCTATGAGTGCAACGAGCATCAAGCTCCGATACCAAAATTTGCATGGGTCCTGGAGACCATCTCACGCAAGAGTGTTCACAGCATGCACCATCATCACATGCAATGCACTGAAGTCATCACACATTTGACAAAGAGGTAAGAAGGGGACCAAGTGGCGCAACTTTATATTATCAAAAATATGATTACAAAGAGTGTCACAATTCCCTGAGTTTAAACGCTCATCGGCGCAATGCAAATCTGTCATCCAACTCATCAATGAGGCTTCTACATAATAGCGCCACCTCTGCAGATCATATCCCACTCAGTTAAGTATTCACCATAGTCGAACCTTGTTTGAACACTCTCTGTTTCAGTCCCTTCTTCCTACAATGCATACACACTCTTCTCGCATAAGGATCTACTCTGAATGCTACTCATAGAAGACTACTACTAACCCTCTAAGTCTGATGCTAACTCGCTGGGCAGCTATAGCTGCATCTCTTTCCAGCGCACAGTCTTCTTCCCTCACATAGCGCATCTTCATCCTCCAGCGCTGCTCCTCCTGACTGACGCACAAGTGCTTCAGCACTTCCACGCGCAGAATGTCAGTGGAGATCTGGCGTGCAATGAGGCTGGCTGCATTCTTTATAGTGCTGGCCTTCACATGCTGGGTCTGCATTTGGCTCATTCAGGCCTTCCTTTGTCCCAGACCCTGCATTGCATGTGTCCCAGGACTGTCCCAATGAAATCAACTACTGCTGAGGCCTCTCGGCCTAGATTTTGGACTTTGACGTCTGGATCTGGACTATCCCATAGACTTAGACCAGAACTGGGACCCTGTTTATTGACTTACTTTCGAGCAGGCATAACTTTGGACGAACAAACACACTTACTGCCTGAACAGACACTCACACCGTGTGAATAGACACTCTCCTTTTGCACGAACAGACACACTGACTGCACGTACAGACATACCCTTATCTGAACATACATGACATATGCATCTCTTGGCGAACAGGTATGTCCTTCAGCAATAACCCTTGACACTGATTTCTCGCTTAGATTTAGATGTGCCCTTTGATAGAGAATTTGTCCGTTGATCTGCTTTCACGTGTCCTGGGTCCTAGCGAGATACCCCTTCATGCTGCATTACTTTTACAAGGGCTGAATCGGGTAAAGGCCCTTTTAAAGAAGAAGCGGCCATAGCCGCGGAGTGTCACCACGGAGTAACGAAGGAGGGAGAGAGACCGGACAGAGGGGGAGAGACCGAGAAGGGAGAGAAGGAGGCCATAGCCGAGAGGTGAAGTGAGGGCCGATTAAAAAAAGAAAAAAAGAAAAAAAAGAAAAAAAAAAGACAGCCGGGGTGAAAGGAGGCGAGGAAGGTGAAGGGAAGAAGAGGGTTGGCGAGGAAGAGGAGCCGACAGCCATAGCTGACCGGAGGGTTGACCGGAGGTGTTGACCGGCGGTTATCGGAGTTGACCGGGGGTTGACCGGGGGCTGATAGCAACGTTGACCGGCGTTGACCAAGGCGTTGACCAAGACTTTGACCAAGCTGGAGCCGGTAACATCTCGCCAAGCCTTCAACCTACCCCTCGCCCTATGGATGTGCACACACCCCTCGGTACTTGTTGAGTCCAGTCTGTCTGTCTATTCTTTCTGCATCGAGTCTCTTCTGTCCTAGGTGATAGTACTTTGTGGATGAAGGACAGGGTCTTGTTGAGCAAACCCACATGGGATGAGTAGGGCTAAAAGCTGTGTGATAGTACTTTGTGGATGAAGGACAGGGTCTGCATCGAGTCTCGACTGTCCCGGAGGTCAAACCTTCCCAAGGACCGGTACTGACCGACGGGCTGCTCGGTGTGGCACGGAAGGCCTCGAAATCCGAGTTGTGGGCTGTACAACAGACCGTCTAAGTCTTTAGAGACCTGCTGATCGCATCGTCCTGTTTGCGACGTTAAATAATTCCTGAGGAGTTCGGGGGATCTCCTTAAATGCCTCATGATCAGCAACAGGTGTAGTAGTGACAGTCATAGCTAGGTCCAGGCTAGAGACCATAGTTGGCAGGATCCTTGTCAGGATTTTGTAAGTCCTTAGATCGAGTCAATAGGTTTGTCAGTCAGGGGTCAGAGTCTACGTGGTGAGGTTTTGAATCACTAATCCGGTTGTAGACTGATCACCATGGTTGAGACCCGTAGTGGGATAGACATTAGCCCCTACACCAAGGAGCAGCAAGAAAAGATGGCCGCCTTAGTGAAAGAGAACAAGGAGAGGAAGGAGCTCTTGAATCAGGAGAAGTTAAAGGCGATCGCAGAAGAGCAGGCGGCAAAGATGAAGAAGTTAGAGGAGGAGATGAAGAGAGTTCAACAGGAGGAGGAAGAGAGGAGAAATGTTGTCGAAGAAGAAGTAGCAGCAGAAATGGAGAAAGAGAGGATGTGTATTGAGAGTAGAGAGGGGAGTAGCGGCACGAAAAAGGATACAGACGCTGAGATGGAGAAGAAGATAAGTGAGTGGGTCGCTAATTTATCGCTGGGAGAAGACGAGGAGGCAGAGTCTTATGTGACTCAGGAGGAGAGGGATGTGCTAGCCAGTGAGCTAGCAGCAATGAAAGATCCTATGAAACGGCGAGAAAGGGAGGAGGAGCAGAAGTTGGCGTGGAAGTTAAGGATGAAGAGGGAGAAGAAGAGGAGGAGAGAGGAAGTGAACAAACTGACCGCAGAGGTGGCAAAGGTGCAGGAGTGTAGAAAGGAAGTGTTGGCCCAGCCAGATGACAAGGCCAAGTGGGATAAGGTGTTGGGCTACCTAGAGGTGCTGAGCACCGCATGGATGGAGGAGCGCCAAGCGAGTTGGAGCCAAGAGGTAGCCCTGAGTGACATGCGGTCGGGATTCTGGGACTTTGCGCGCGAGATCGTCACCCACATTGAGGGCGAAGTCAGGCAATTGAGGGGCAACGTAGGGAAGTTCTGTGAGGGCGTCATTGAGGGTGCCAAAGCAATAGCTGTTGTAGAGGGCGAGGGCAGACCCCGTAAAGAGTCTGTAAAGCTCAAGTTTCCAGACGCATACGGGGTAAAGAAGGAGGAGAACTTTGACAACTGGGAGACCAGTGTCAATAGTTACATATATCGACAACACATTTTGTCAGAGGAACAAGTCCTCCTGGCCTTCCAGGCCCTCAAGGATGAGCCAGCTAGTTTTGCCAGGTCCCTTGCGCGCACAGCCGGTTGTGAAAACAACCTGGTTGCATATTCAAGAGTCACCCCCCTTCCTCGATTCTTTAAGCTCCTGAAGGAATGATTTGTTGACCCAACAAGAGGCGTTGGCGCCTCTGATAAGCTACAAACCATCCACTCGCGACAGTGGAGGAGTACGAGTGCACTCAAGGGCACCATGGACGACTAGGTAGCCGTCCCAGACCATGGGCTCACTGAGAATCAATTGGTCCAGTTGTTTTATCGTGCCATGCTCGAGGCCCTGCGTGGGCATTTCTTTAACAAATCTCAACAGGACGGCATCACTTATGATGCATTGAGTAGAGAAGTCGTCCTGTATGAGTCAAAATTCATGTCAGTTACCACCTTCTGGCACAAGGACTTAGATAAGGGGAAAAGGTGGAAAGGCCGTACCATCTCGGGCCAAGTGAGGGCCAAGGATCACATGATCCTTACTTTAGAAGAAGGTGGTACTGACGAGGTCCCATATAGTCAGATTGAGTGGGGCCTAGAGGAAGAGGATAGTAGCGTGGGACAGGGGAGGTCCTATGCTGCTGTCGYGSCTGGAGGGAGGCCGCAAGGTAGAGGAGRAGGCCARGGCCAAAGGGGCCAGGCCATGGGAGGYCGAGGAYMGGGCRCACAGGGGGTTGGCGGACAAGGGAACCGCCAAGTGGGAGGTAGGGGTCAAGGTCCCCCGCCAAATCGCCAGGGTTCTAATCGGTCCCCACAGCGACGAGGTGGAAGGGCACCTCAAGGAGGATGGCACCCAGGCTTGCCACAGGGCAGGTCCTGGGAAGATTTGGGCTTGGACCAAGGCGTATGGCAGGAACGAGTGAACTTGGGTCAGTGTGTGTTTTGTGGTGACCCGGCCCACGTCATTAAATTTTGTCCAAAGTATAGACAAGCCCGTTGGGCTGCCCAGCAGTCAAAAGGCAGCCGCAGTAGGGGTTGCAACTGCCCCTATTTTAAGGCCATGTGGAGAAGTGAGCGCGCGCGAACAGGACACTCCCAACCCACATGAGCCTAAGGCAGAGGTTGCAGGCCCGTGCCTAGTTAGCTGTCCAGAGACCGTCTGTGTTAGTGTCTCTTTAGGCACGTCCCTCACATGTGTGGCAGAAGAGTTAAAGGAGAGGATGTCAGTCGGGGCCAAAATGAAGAAAGAGAGCAAAGGACAGTTGATCTTGGTAGATGTAGAAGTTTTCAGGAGTAGAGTAGGGGCCCTTATAGACTCAGGGGCCACCCGTAGGTATATTAGCCGCAGAGCGCTGAAAAAGTTAAGGCTAGGATTAAAAGTCCAAAAGTTAGTAGACCCCATAGTCAATGTCCTCGCAGACAACCGCACGATGCGTGTTGAGGACTATGTAGAGGGAGTCCAGGCGTACTTTCGCCTAGAGAAGGATGGGAAGGTGGAGAAAGTTCTCCATTCCCTGACTCTCCTCGTACAGGATGACCTTCCTTTTGATGTAGTATTAGGAATGGATTGGGGAGAGGCAGCAGGGGCCACATTCCACTTGAGAGAGCATGAGTGTAGGCTCCCTAGTCCATCAGGCGAGGTCAAGACTGCCCGCCTGTTCCATGTGTCAGGTGTGGACAACACCTTGGCACATTGCTGTCTCAGTGCTCCCGCGCTCGTGCGACTAGTGAAAAAGGAACAGTTAGAGGACCAGGTCTTTGTAGTTTATGTTAGACCTGTCACTGAGGCCAAGAAAGAAGTCAGTTCTGCATATCCAACCATAGCCAGACTGCTGGAGGAATTCAAAGACTTGACTGAGTCGCTGACAGGAGTAGTGTCGCGACCCATCCAGCATAGAATAGAGATAGAGCCTGGCAGTAGGACTCCTAAGTGAGCAATCTACAGGATGTCCCCTAGAGAGTTAGAGGAGATTCGCAAGCAATTAGACGAGCTCCTTGAGAAAGGTTGGATCAGGCCCAGTTCGTGTCCTTTTGGAGCACCAGTTTTGTTTGTCCCAAAGAAGGAAGGAGAGTTTCGTATGTGTATAGACTATAGGGGTTTAAATGCGATTACTGTGAAGAATGTTGTGCCGCTGCCCAGGATAGACGATCTCCTAGATGGGGTGCAGGGTTGCAAGTACTTCTCTAAGATAGACTTGAAGTCTGGATACCATCAGATAGAAGTCCATCCTGATGATCAGTACAAGACTGCATTCCGGACTAGATATGGGCACTATGACTTTATAGTGATGCCCTTTGGACTAACCAACGCGCCAGCCACCTTTCAGCGTTGTATGAATGACCTGTTTAGACCATGGTTAGACAAGTTTGTGGTAGTCTACTTAGATGATATCTTAGTTTTTAGTAAGGCCCTCCAGGAGCATCAGGGTCATCTAAGGCAGGTCTTGGAGAAGTTGAGAGAGGCTAACTTCAAGATCAATCCAAAGAAGTGCGAGTGGGCCAAAACACAAGTCTTGTACTTGGGCCACGTATTAGACGGAGATGGCATTAAGCAAGAGGACAACAAGACAGCGGCGATTAGAGATTGGCCATCGCCCCGCATATTGACAGAGTTGCGGTCATTCTTAGGCCTAGCTAACTACTATAGAAAGTTCGTGAGGAACTTTTCTACTATCGCCGCTCCCCTGCTCAGGTTGCTTAAGAAAGAGGCAATCTGGCAATGGGATAAAGATTGTATGTCTGCGATAAAGAGATTAAAGCGCGCACTAACAGAGTACCCTGTCCTCAAAGTAACAGATCCGTCTTTACCATTTGTCGTCACCACGGACGCAAGTCAGTATGGGATAGGCGTCGTGTTGCGGCAGGATGACGGCAATGGCTATAGACCCGTAGAGTTCATGTCCGTGAGGATGCCCTCAGAGAAGGTAGCCACCTCTACGTACAAGAGAGAACTCTACGCTCTCAGGCAGGCTCTAGACCACTGGAAGCATTACCTGCTTGGGAGACACTTCAAAGTGTATTCTGATCATGAAACACTTAGATGGTTAAAAACTCAGGCCAAGATGACACCTAAGTTGACTAGGTGGGCCGTAGAGATAGACCAATATGACTTTGAGCTTAAGCCAGTGAAGGGCAAATACAACGTAGTTGCGGATGCTCTAAGTAGCAGATCATACTACTTTGGAGTTATAGTACACTATCTGGATATAGGGAGAGACCTGCAAGAGAAAGTGAAGCAAGCATATGCACAGGACCCTATCTATAGCGACCTCCTAAAGAGAGTTAGAGAGGCCCCAGAGACTGAGCCAGATTACCGCACTATAGAGGGATTACTGTTTGAGAAGACTAATGTATTTGACCGCCTGTGCGTTCCCAACAACGAAGAGACTCGTAGTTTGATCCTTGGGGAATGCCACGATACTGAGGGACATTTCGGTTGGCAAAAGACATTAGCCAATCTGATGCGCGCGTACACCTGGCCAGGGATGAAGAATGACTGCATAGAGTATGTCCGCAGTTGTAAAGTGTGCCAGAGGAATAAGACTACTACACGCGCGCCCCTATGTCTTCTCAGACCCTTGCCTATTCTTGATCAGTCGGGAGACTCAGTGTCCATAGACTTCATGGACACCCAAGTCAAAAGCAGACATGGCAAAAGCCAAGTTATGGTCATAGTTGACCGATTTAGTAAGTATGCAGTTTTTGTTCCGTTGCCTGCAGAGGCACGCACAGATTTAGTGATACAGAAGTTCTTTGACTTTTGGGTTAGTGAGAATGGAATCCCATTGTCAATAGTTAGCGATAGAGACAGTCATTTCACCAGCCAGAACTGGCTAGCACGAACTCATGAGAGTCTACGGATCTAAGCTATTGATGTCGTCTGGCCGCCATCCAGAGACAAACGGTCAGACAGAACAGATGAATAAGATCCTATAGCAAGTTCTGCGCATGTACATTAGACCCGATCAGATCAACTGGGACGAGATGTTGCCCAAAGTAGCTAGCGCATACAACAACACCGTGCATTTGTCCACCTGTCGCACTCCCAATGAGTTGCACAAATCCTTTAGGTCGCGCAGACCATTCGAAGGACTGAACCGGGATCAGATTCACAGACTACCGCCCGGTACCAGGGAGTTTGCGATACAGCATGAGAAAGAATTAGCAACTGTTGTTGAGAACCTCAGGAAGGCTCAACATAGAATGATAGAGCAGGCTAATAAGCATCGCCGCCCGTTGCAGTTTCAGATAGGCGACTTAGTCTGGGTCAAGGCTAAAGAGTTTGCACCTGAGGAAAATATCTCGCAGAAGTTACTGCCTGCATATAGAGGACCGTGGCCGGTTCTAGAAGTCAAGGGCGGAGAGGATGGACTGTCCTACACTATAGAGATTCCAGCGCACCTCCTCACCTACCCTGTGTTCCACGCTTGAAAACTGTTGCCGTGTGTCACAAGTCAACAGTTCCCTTCAAGAAGATCCATGATCCCCCCGGATATGGATGGAAGCTGTGACATTGACGGCATTGTAGATGAAGATGTCTTTAGAACAGGAGGTAGAGGTCGTCCACAGAAACAGTACAAGGTCCGGTTTGCTTATCAGGAATCGGAGGACGACCGCTGGTTCACTAGGACAAGAGTTCTAGAAACAGCTCCCGACATAGTCAAAGCCTATGAGCGTGACAGGAAGGGTGAAGGTCCTGCCTTGGACTGAAATCTTCTCGGAGGACCTCGAATTTAGGACGGCGGGAGTGAAACGGTTTTTTCACCTTTCAGCAGTACCTAGGGCTTGATCCCTAGACCTCGTCCTACCCATGTACAGTACCCGTGTAGACCCCGAGAGTTGAACCTGTGATCTGTATATTCATAGACAGTTGGTAGGTCTGGCATAGGTCTATTGGTAGCAGGGGTTCGATCTGTAGATCTGTAGAGTAGAAGTCTTAGCGAGTTCCAGAAGTCTAGATGTAGTCCTTCTAAAAGGTCGGCAAGTGGTCAAGTGGCGAGTCAAGTGGTGGACTAAACTGCAGTGCAATTGCAGTACGACTACGGTAGGTTAGCAGTGAGTCCACAGTCCGTCAACGGTAAGGTCCAGTCAGTCCCAGTCCGGTCCAGCAAGTACCACGGGGGACTGTGAGCACTATGGGCCGATGGCAAAGGGTGGACCAACGAGTTTCCGAAGTATAAATCAAGAGACAACACCCTTTCATTCATTCTTGCGTGAGCCATGCGGAAGCGTTGTCACAACGACTTGTGCAAGGAGGTCTGCAGTGAGCCCGGAGGACGCAGTGGGCGAGAGAGAAGGAGCTTAGTATAGCGATAGGGTAGAGGCAGCCATAGCTGTCATAGCTGTCATAGCTGTAGTTAGTGTGAAGTGTGTATGTGTATGTGCGA